TAGTGGTAGTGGAAGAGCCAAAGTCAAAAATGAGCTGAAACTTGAGAAACAGTAGATTGATTTTAAAACCTTTTAGTGAAATCCATAGTTGAGTGAATTAAGGGAAAGGAAAAGACTTAAGGTATATGATATAATATTTGCAAGTCACCTAAAACAAACTGTGTGGTGACTTATGAGCTGAATTAACTGACAGTTGAGCTTTTGTTTGGAAAAGGAAAATACATCAAGATAATTAAGCAGAGACAGTAACTAATACAACTGAAACAAGTTTTCACGTCTAAGCAAAAATATAGTTTTCAGCATACTGAATCTTGAAAATAATGAGAATTCAAGAAATATGGAAAATGGGAGGAACCTAAATTCTTTAAAGGTGAGTACTCCCCAAAGTTGAAACATTTATATTTTATACTTGATGGCACGATCTGTAGGTTTAGATTCCAAAACAGATTATTTCCTGTTTAAACTGGTGGATCCAGAGGGAGGTTCTGGTCCCAATGTAGTCTGAGATTTCATCAGGTCATCCATAAAGTGTGCTTGTATTTTGGTATCCATGGTAGACAAATGAGTACTCTGTGAAATTGCTGTTAGTTGGATCTTGACTCAGAATATCAACTGGTAGACTAAGTATCAGTCTTAAGGGGTATGGGTAGTAGAAAATACCCAGGAAAAATATTTCAGTTTTCTGTTGGTGTCTAAACAAACTGTAGAAGTATGGAATAGTGGAGACTTGTTTTAGCACTACCAGCAAAAATGTCAGTAGTTGCTGTGCTTGCTAAAGAAATAAAGATATTCTTTTTATTTTTTTAATATTTTTTTATTATGATATTGTGGGGTACAGTTAAGGGTTTAGGTATGCAAATATACTTCGTTCAGGCACCCTTGTTGATAAGAGGTGTCTCCCCATCCCCAGACAGATATTTACTTTTTTTTTTTTATTGTGGAGATGAGTTCTCGCCACATTGCCCAGGCAGGTCTCGAACCCTCGGGCTCAGGCAATCCACTCACCTCAGCCTCCCAAAGGCGTGGGATTACAGGCTGAGTCACTGAGCCCGGCTAATATAGGTATTCTTAAACAACGATGATGGATGTAGGGGGCAGTTCAGAACTAGAAGTTGATATTCTCAGTCTGCATATCCATTGGTCATTTTGGAATGTTGTGTACAGTATGAGATTTTATACTGTTAAAGGTACTTAGACAAATTGGAGTGTGTCTGAACAAGTGAGAGGGTATAAAACCATGTCAATAGTTTAGAGAAGAAGTCTTTTATAGATAATAGAATGTTTCAAGAATTTGTGGGTCTGTTGACTGGGAACTGTGGAAGACATTTTCAGAGAGCAGATTTAGGTTCAGTAAAACAAATTTGTAGCATTTAAGATCTGCAGAGATGTCTAAAACAAATTATCTTGACGTAGGGGACATTTAGATGGAAGAATCATGCCCAGGTTTGGAGTTCTTGTTGGTTGGATTTTTATATTACATGATTAAAACAATTGATTTTGAATTTTGAGTTTTCTGAAACACTGCTGGAGGTTAATTAAGGTAGTGTGGAGGTGAAGGAACGTTTGAGCGTTACATTGTAATGTTTGATAAAACAATAAATATATACAACATATTAATTATGAAGCATTCTTAGGTTTCATAAATGAACACCTGTGAACCCATCACTTAACACAAAGAATGTAGCATACCCCGAACCCATATCCATTGCATGTTTCTTTAATAGTTTGGCTATAATTATAGCAACTGCTAGTATAACATTAACAGAAGCTTTTATTGCCAGGTCATATGAAATAAAAAGTTTTGTCTCCAAAACGTGGGGTTCTGGGAGAAAATAATAAATGGGGCTGTTGCCCTAAGGTTGGAAACTAATGTATTCAGTTGAGTCATTCAATAATTATATGATGCACAGGCACTAAAATCGCAATTACTGTTAGAAGTGGAACCAGAACATGTTCTGACTTGAGCATTGTAAATAACACAGCAGGAAGTGCTGATGCTGTTCTACTTTTTTCTTATTGATACAGGTAGTAAGCAACTCATCAGACTCAACAATGAGTAAGATTGTAAAGCCTTTGGGGGCCAGAACTATATCTTAGTCATCTTTACATTTCTGTCACTACTGTCTTGCAATAATATGTGTTCTGTTATGAAACTGAGTGATAGATCTTAGAGACTGAAAAAAATCATGGAAGAAAGAATGCTTATCAGTTTTCAATATTAGTAAGTTTTTTGAGAGCTAGATGACTTGTTTAGTGCTTCAGAACCTAGCTCATTCCTCTCTTCCTTTACCCACCCAGTCCACCAAATATTTCTTGAGGCCCACTGTATTCCAGGCACTATTCTAGGACCTGGGCACATACTGGGTAACAGAATCTCAAGGAACTTTGAGTTATTAATCAAAGAATCATAGATTTTTATAAAAATACAACTTAACTGGTAAATAAATTCTCTAACTAGATGTTTATGTATGAAGACTGCTGGTTTTTGTAAATTTATTTATTAATCTGGTCATCTGGATTTTCTGGTAATTTATACTAGATTCTTTTGGTTTTCCTAAATTTGATGAATTTGTTCACCTTGAACATCATATTCTGACCCTCTCCCTCATTTGTTTTACTAATATGGTGACATATAATAATCGATTTTTAAAATTCTGAACTATTTTTGCATCCATGATATACATTCTACTTTGTTTAGTGCATATTCTTTCAGTATGCTGGTGGATTCTGTTTATTTGGGATGTTTGCATCTGTATAAGCAAATTTTATCTGTGGTTTTCTTTTATGCCATTGTCAGATTTTTATATTGGTGCTATGCTAACCTTATGATGAGAATTGGGTAGTTTCTGAGGAAGAAATTTAAATGATAATAAATTAGTGTTGACTATGCTTTGTAAATCTAGAGTCCTGCTGAGCATGATGGTTCATGTCTGTACTTCCAGCATTTTGGGAGGCGGAGGCAAGAGGATTGCGTGAGCTCAGGGGTTTGAGACCAGCCTGGGCAACTTGGTGAGACCTCGTCTCTACAATAAATCAAAAAATTATCCAGGCATGGTGGTGTGTGCCTGTAGTTTCAGCTACTTGGAAGGCTGAGACTGAACGATCTCCTGTACACAGGAGGTCAAGGCTGTGGTAGCTATGATCATGCCACTGCACTCCAGCCTGGGTGACAGAGACTCTGACTCCAATAAGCAAATAAATAAATCTAGATTCCTAGACTAAAAGATATATGTGTAATATTAATTAGATTACATTTTTCTAATACCTTTTGGTTGATGTTATTATGTAAATTATGTAAATAATCGTGTTTAAATTATTACTTGGTCACTGAAAATTTGATTTGAGAATTGCTGTCCTGCGTGCTTAAAATATTAACACTAATTTGATATTGGACATTATTAGGGAAGATTTTATTATAAAACTATAAGTATAAAAGTAAGAAAGAGTAAAGTCTTGCTCTTAGAGTCAAGGTAATCTCTTGTTTTTTTTATTTCATTTGCTATTTAGAAATAAGCGTTTGACAGGCTTTTACAAGTAAATTGTTATTTAAGAGATAAAATTTGTAATAAAATAATTATTGCTACCACTGAAGCAGAAATGTAGTTTTTTTTAACTGATCAAGATTTTATAACTGGATAGAAGCACCTTTCATCATGCCTTTTTGCTGTTTGATTTTTATTTAATTGAAATGGATTTAAATAACTAGTTATGAAAATTAAAGAGTGCATTAATATTTGATAGTTTCTTAATATCAGTAGATTGAAATTCATGTTTGGAAGGCATACAAAATATGTTTTTAAGATGACATTTTATTTTTAAATACTAATGAATTCAATCCTTTACCCAAGAGGGACACAGAGTATAGGATGGAGAGACAGTTACATAGGCATAATAATGACCACCCTTATTAGACAGTGTGTTCTAATGGAGAAGAGCCTGTTTTCTAGAGCATAGTAAAAGTTTAAGAAATAATTCTTGAAAGAATCCATTTTCTTTTCTTTACAGGACCTGAGTCATTAAAATGAAGTCTACTACTATTTATTTTAAAGAAGCCTATTTTTATATAAGAACTATAGTACTTTTTTTTAAGGTCATTGATTTTAGGTATATATATATATATATATATATATATATATACTTTTTTAAAAAAATGTATATTTCACTCATTAACCCAGTGTAGTTTGATCTCTGTTACCATCTTTTCCTTGAAACTTACTTGATTACCAATGGCTTAGTGGTCAAATTCAAGGTACCGTCTTTTGCTCTTTACCTTACCATTCTTTTTTAGTAGTGTTTGACACTATTGATCACCCTATCCTTGAATCTGTCATTTCTTAGTTTCTGTGACACCTCTCTTCCCTAGTTCTCCTATGCAACTCCATTTCTTCTTGGTTTGGATCTTCTTTTCCTCACCGCTTGCTTTTCCTAAAGTTCATTCAGTCCTTCCTTGTCCCTTTGCCTTCTCTGAGACATCGCTTCTCATGGCTTTAACCACTAAATTTGTGTATCTAACTCAGATTTCTGAACTTGTAATCTGTTGTCTTTGGACATCTGTTGGAATATTCTGAAGATATCCAAAAAAATCTAACAAAGTGGTCCAGTTTAAATATCCTTCAGGCAGAGAGGCTTTGGTATTAGTTTTGTTTGATAGGCATACTTGTGGTTATTTGCTTGAAACTGTCATTTGGAGTGATTGGCCTCATTTAGTCAAGAAAAAATTAGGTAAAATGACAAACCTGAATCATACTGGTTAGGAGCTCAGGATCTGAAGTTGGTTTTAATAAGATATGTTATTTGATTGATTTAATTTTGATTTGTGGAAATTCATTAATCTGTGGTCCTGTTAAATATGGGCTTAATTCAGAAAATGACAGGATAGGTCTGCAGTTCTACTTGAGTTTTAATACTTTATCAATGAAATCCTCCCTTACCCCCTCTTTTTTTCCAGGATTAGCAAGAATATTTTGTTGTCTAACACATTTAAAATTTTTACTTTTAACAGAAATTAGCAGAGTACGGAAAGACATGTACAATGACACATTAAATGGCAGTACAGAGAAAAGGAGTGCAGAATTGCCTGATGCTGTGGGACCTATTGTTCAGTTACAAGAGAAACTTTATGTGCCTGTAAAAGAATACCCAGATGTAAGTATATTTTGTTGTTTTATTCAAATTTTTTTCTGCTTCACATATTTTGGGAAGAGATGTATTTGATGGTAAATACTTAAGTGTTATTAGCTGCTGTAAAAAATTAATGTGAAGGACTGGAGGTGTGAATAATTTGGCATGGATGATTTTTAAAAATTCTTTCTAAATGTGTTTCCATTTGATTGCTGCTATGTCACTTTGGAAATGCACATGGTATAGAGTGTTTTGTGTTTCAGAACCAGGCCAGGAATTATGGAAAGTGCTTTGGCCTTAATGTCAGAGAGGACCAAGTACAGCTCTCTACTCATCTTTCATCTGACCTCAGAGAAGCTAGAGCTTGGGCCCCCATCATCTTTTCTGTAAAATGAGGGTGTCAGATATAAAGTTTGTATCAAAACCACTGATTCCGATCTGATTGTTCCCCATCTTAGCTCATTGCTCAACTATTGTCTATAAGCATCTTGTTGCAAATAGCCGCCTTGTCCTAAATCAGTTAATTTCTAAATAAATCCAGATTCTTTGCCTTTTGTTACAAAACCTTACGTGATATGGTCTATCCTATTTCTTTGACCTCATCTTAAATTATTTTTCCCTCTTCTTCACTGCTCTGTAGTCTCATTGGCCTTCTTTTGACTTTTAGAGCAAGTCAAGTCTATTCCTAGCCTTAGGACTTGTGTTAGTTTGTACTTTGGTCTCTACTGGCTGACTTCTTCTTGCCATTAAGAATTTAACTCAAGTGTCATTTCAGAGGCCTCCCCTGGCCATTTTAAAAGCCATCTGGCTACTCATTGTTTCATATGTCTCCTTTTTTTCCTGCAGTAGCGCTTATTATCTGGAATTTTTCTGCTTTATTTGTTTATTTTTCTGTTTCTCCCAAGCAGAATGTGTAAGGTACATAAAACAAGAGTCTTGTCTTTGTTATTCACTGCTGTGTGCCCCCCCCATATTGGCACATAACAGGCATCCAAGGCCTGTTGAATAAATAATGGAGAAAAGGTGGCTTATTTCTAGGTTTCAGAGGACTTTTCTGAAAGCAAATGAAAAAAAAGGATTAGTATTGCAATGTCAAAAATGATGTGTGCTTTAAGTGTCATTGGTTATATGGATAGAACACTAGTCTGTTGACAGGACATGTCTTAAATTGGATTAATGAAAAAAAGCTTTGGTATTTTGCAGTTTGCATTTCTAGTATGTTAAAGGTTATACATTTACTCTATTTTTATAGGTATTTTTGGTTGCAAATATACAAGTAGTCCTGGATAATATAGGTAAAAGTAGAGTTTGTTGGAAGATTATTGGGTAATACAAAGGATTAAAGGAATGGCTGGAGAACAAAATTTTATGTAAGGCATCTCTGAGAACTTCAGCAGCAGGAGTTTGTGGACCTTCTCTCTTGAGAGCCATACTGACATTACTTGCTACCAGTGTGTTCCAGACTTTATTTTCACGTTTCAGATTCTTCTAAGAATGTGTTTTGGGCCAATCTGCTAGGGCGAAGGAAGTGGGGTTATCTATTACAAGCTTGGCATGACCACTATGGGCCTACCCTGAGTATTAGGATTATTCCTAGAGGTGGAAAATTGTGACATGGGCAGCTTTTCCAGTCGGGGTATACAATTATTTGGTGTTTCAGTGCCCCCTAGATGATACCAACTGTCTTTTATGCTTGTATAAGCCCTGAAGGATAAAGTTTCAGCAATAGTCATTAACATAAAGTATGTAAGACCATAAGACCTTTGTAGAGAATATAACCTTGATCTCTCTGGTTCCATTTTTTAAACACACACACACATACACACACACACACACACACACACACACACACACACACACACACACACACTCCCATTCAGAGAAGGGCTGTTTATACTGCATTATTTAAAAGAGATGTTCCATACAGTTTTCCAAGTCAGGACCTAAGTCTAGAGGGTACCTTTTCACTATATTCCTTTTCTTCTTTTGCCAGTTTCGACTCATTGCCATGGTGAGCTACTGTTGACAGGTGTTGTAGCATGACATTGACATTGTCTAGATTAGTGGTTCTCAAAACATGATCCCTGGATTATAGTATACACACCTTCTGGGAACTTGTAACTATTCAAGTCCTATTCCATACTAGTTGAATCTGAATCTCTAGGGGTGAGGCCTAGCAAATCTGCCTTTTTAACAAGTCCTATAAGTGATTCTAATGCATGTTAATGTATGAGAATCACTGCTCTAAATTTTCTTTTTCTGGTCAGAGTAAGCCATATTAACAAATAGGTAACCACATACATAGTAATTTTGCCAAGCATTGTTTCATGAGGTTGATAAAGAGATGAACTAAACAGTATCCCTTGTCTTGTAGAGCAGGCATTTCAGTGACAGAGACAGACAGTAACGAATATTTATTTTTAGTATGTGGAGGGAGGCTTCATTTGTAAGGGTATCCAGGAAAGGAATTTCTTACAAGATGATGGGAATGGAGAAACACGAACAGAATGATGGGGGGGAGGAAGGCGTGAAAGCCACCTCCAGGAGTGAACAGCAAGTGCAGTGACTCAAGGATGAGCATGCTGGGAAGCGTGGTGTGATGAGAGATCAGAGAATTAGCAGAGGGGCAGTATAGCATAATGGCCAAAATATGAAATGAATTACTTTTCATTCCTGGTCCTCAGTTTCCTCATCTCTGTAATGGAGATAGTAAGTCAATGGTTTGTGAAGACTAGGTGCTTTAATATGTGTAAAGCACTTGGGAGAATGCCTTTATGCTATGTAAGTATTACAAGAATGTAAGCTCCATGAGGGCAGGAATTTTTTGTCTTTTTTCGTTGCTGTATTTCCAGAGCTTAGTATAGTGTCTGGTAAGTGGTAATGTACAATGCATACTTGTTATGCATATATGTAGCTCATTTTTTCAAATACTGCTGAACTTTTTTTTTCTTTAAACCTGTTGACTTTGGCACATAGCATCTTGTTTATAGAAGTCAACATTAATTTGGAGGTAGTGATTTGGACTTAACTGTGTAGGACTCGGAAACTGATATGAGAAAAAAGTCTTAGATTCAGTGTCTGAGAAATGATGTGGTGCTCTGTAATGCCCTTCACAATGTTTTGAAATTATTGGCTTAATGATGTGAGAATGAGAAACTAATATGAGTGGCCCATTGAAAATTATTTAAAACTTTTACAAAATTCACATTTATTAGTATTTATTAATAAAGCAGACTTGTGTTGCATTTCTACTGCATACTGTGCACACAGTGGGTAAGAATAATAATTCAGTTGCAAAAAAGCTCTTTAATGTAGTCAAGATAGTGGGTTTTGAGTCAGGCCTAGGTTTTGAATTCTAGCTTATCCCCTTACTGGCTGTATTAACAATCGTGTTAACAATTGCCACCTAATGCTTCACAATAAAATGCCGTACAACTCAGTGACTTAAAATAGTAGGCATTTATTTCTTTGTTTATCAGTCTGTATGTTGCTTGAGGTTCTGCTGATTGAGGCTTAGCCTAGGTTAGGTTGATCAAGACTAGCTGTGAGTGGATTTAGATTTCCATTTATGTTCCTGCTGGGCCCAGGCCAAAGGAAGGGGTTGGTGGCTGCTTGGGGCATGCTCTTACGGCAGATCACTGGAATGCCAGAGTCTAGCCAAATTGCATAAGCCTGTGTAAGGCCTCAGCTCTTGTCCCATCTATTAACATTTCATTAGCCCAGTGAGTCTCACCTGGAGGCATTTTTGCCTCTGGGAAAATTTGGCAATGGCTAGAGATATTTCTAGTGTCTAAATTTCAGAGGGGCTATGGCTAACAATAATAAGTGGAAGGCATGAATGCTGCAAAACATCCTACAATGCACAGGACGGACCCCACTCCCCAAAGCTAAGAATTATCTGGTCTACAATGTCAGTAGTGCTGAGGTTGAAAAACCCTTCAGTAGCCATATCAAGTCATTCTGTCCTCATTGAGGAGATTGGAGTAAATATTTGCTGAAAAAATAGAGATTATCATGTTGGCTTTGTGCGTGTGCTTACTTTTTAGAATCTGTTTATCTCTAAAGTTACAAGGTCCACTTCATAGGATTGTTTGTAGAAGTAAAGATAACAATTATGGCACCGGATAGAGCAGATGTTCAAAGTAGTTTGTATGAATAAGAAAAAAAAAATTCTATTCTTGAAGGAGCTCACAGTCTTATATGAAAGATAAAAGATATTATACTGAATCATATAAGTCTTTAAAGTTTATCATACATTCATAAAATGACAGACATGAAAGGGGGTTAAACATGTTTAGATCATCAGTAAATTGGCTGTTTAAGTTATTAAGGACTTATGTAATCCATGCATATCTTATGAACGTGTATGAATAGTGTTAACTCTGATTTATATAAGTAAAAGGTATTATGTTTCAGATGACTCCGTAATAATCTTGTCATTAAATTTGCCTAGTTATCAGTTTTGAATTGTTAGAAATTATTTTATAGGCTATACCAGAGTAGTAGATGTGTTACAGATATCGACAAGGTCTAGCTGTTAAAGATATTAGTCATCTTGTTATGTACACAAATAGATTAGATTGCTGAACTCTTTTCTTGGAACATAGTTTGATGATTAAATTGTAGTGAAACTTTTTCTAAGGATTTTGTGTGGAGAAAACTGATTTTCTGAAGTTTTTAAAAATGAGTTTCAATTTTGAATAATAGCCTTGAAAGTCATCTCTTGGGTCTAGGCCATCATGATGACACATACTGTTAAAGGTAAGATGGATAAATGTCTTTTAAAATATTTTTTCCAGCTTGTAGAGTCCCAGCCTGGCAGCTGTAGTTATTAGTATAGATTTATAATGTTATTCACAGAACTCTCTATGGTCTCTCTGTAAGTCTCTTTTATAATAATAATCTATGCATATGGTGGAGCATGAGTTGTAAGTTTCCTTTCTAGTTAATTTTCTTAGGTTTGCGGGTAAAATTTGGCTAGTCATAGCTCTGAGTTAATGTAAGGTTGTTTGTTATTTTAATGT